ATTTATCCTACCTATAAAGAAAAATTAATGTGATAAGCCACCTCCATGCTTTTTCCTTTCTGTTACAATCCTGTTTTTTAACATTTGTCTGTGATTTAAAATACTGGCTGTGTGCCCCAGGCATGTCTAGAAGATGGGTGGGGCTCATCTTTTCATCTTTAGTGGCAAGTGTCATTTGAATTTCTAGAGTGAGATGGGTAATTTGTTTGTCAGCCCAGTGTTCCAAGGGAAATCTACAGGAGAGGTAAAATGTAATAAAGAGGCTGCCATGAATCCCCAGGTACTGCTATGTGCCTGCACTCAGAAGCTATGTCATAAGCAACACAGTCGGAGATATTCCAAAGAGACGCGGTGATGTCTCCCCAGAAGACACAGACAGGTGACTCTACTACCCCGTGCAAGTAGGGCAGAGAATTTGTTTTACAGTTTGTCTTTTTTGGGTGTTCTTTTTTCCTGTTTGTTTCTTTAGGACTGGTTGTGTGTGTGTGTGTGTGTGTGTGTGTGTGTGTGTGTGTGTGTGTGTGTGTGCCCATACACTGTGTGAGCATGCATATAGAGACAAGAGGTTAATGTCAGTCGTTTCTTTAGGACTGGTAGTACGGTGTGTGTGTGTGTGTGTGTGTGTGTGTGTGTGTGTGTGTGTGTGTGTAGGTGCCCAGCACTTGTGTGAGCATGAATGCACAGACCAGAGGTTAATGTCAGTTGTCAATCCTCAGGAGCCATCTACCTTGGCTTACTTTTTTTGTTGTTGTAGCTGCTGTTTGTTGTTTTGAAATGGGATCTTTCATTGGGTTGGCTCTTTCCAAAGAAGCTATACTGACTGTCCAGCAAGCCCTTGGGATCTACCTGTCTCTGCCCCTCCTGCTGTGGGAACACAGACACACACACGTGTGCCTGGTGTTTTCCCATAGATTCTGAGATAAAGCTTGGTTTTCATGTTTATCTAGCAACTGTTTAGTTAACAGTCATCTCTCTTTGGCCCCTTTCTTCCAATACAGAGTGGAATGAAATGTGTTACTCTCTTAAGGACTGTGAGCGATCACACACATAAACACATATGTGCATACATATAAACAACACACACACGCATACCCACACATACCCCCCCACACACACACTGCATGTAACTAGGTGCATATACGTTTCATACACATACGCCATGTCCTTTGACCTCATCCCCATCCACTCCAGCCCCCTGCGTTCTCTCCCATCCCCCTCACAGCAGCCTCATTGCTCTAGAATCTCACTGTCTAGAAAGTTCCTAGTTTCTGGGGCAGTAGGATGTGGACACTCGGGCAGTGAGATTCAGGGTCCTGCCCAGACCCTCCCAGACATTCTAGACGAACACTGCCTGAGGTCACACCCAGTCCACAGAGCGGTCCTTGGTCCTAGAAGAGGATCGCGTGTGCATGCCCAGCCCACTGAGATTCCAGCTCCTAACACCAGTGTTTGGCTCACGTTGATCTGCTTTAGGTGGAGACAGCTCTGCCCAAGGCCTGAGGTGGTGCCCTGAGCACCTTGCCTGGAATGCCACAGACACACTCAAATACCCAGGCCAGGAGCGGGCATCAGACCCAGCAACAGGAGAGCCGAAATTATTACTTGGGACTTCTTTTTTATAGTGATCAGTCAGTCTCCAGCGTGTTGAACGGTATCTCACCATGGGTCTTCTGTTTTGGTTTGGTCTTTGTTGAGGTTTTTTTGAATGTGTATGTGCGTGTGGTGTGCATGACTTTGGGTATGTGAGTTCACGACTGTGTACACATGTACGTGCGTGTGTAGAAGCCTAACACTAACATCAGGAGTCTCCCTCAATCACTCTCCGCCTTCTCCATTGATATGATCCCATGATCAAATCCAGAGTTCACTGGTAGGACTAGTCTAGCTAGTCACCTTGCTCTGGGATCCCATTTCCTCCTCCAATGCACTGGAGTTCCAGACGGGCTTCCAATGCCCACCCAGCATTCTATGTGGGTGCTGGGGTTCTGAACTCAGGTCCTCATGGCAAGTACATTATGCACTGGACCATCTCCCCAATCTTTCACAATGGTTTTAACACACACATTCCTCCATCTTCCTTCTTTTCATTTGTTTGTTTGTTTGTTTTGATTTTTCAAGACAGGGTTTTTCTGTGTAGTCCTGGCTGTCCTGAAACTCTCTTTGTAGACCAGGCTGGCCTTGAACTCACAGAGATCTGCCTGCCTCCCCTGTGCTAGGACTAAAGGTGTGTGCCTCTATCATACTGCTGCCTGGCTTCCCTCATAGTGCCTGTCCGGCATGTCTTTGATGGTATACCATTCATTGGCCGAGCACTCTTCAGTGAACATCTAAGTAAGTGAGATGTGCTTTTGCCTGCAGTGCTGTGGTGACCATCTTATCACAACCATCCCAGCAATTCATTATCTTGCCTTTAATTTGCACCCGCCCTCTGTGCCCATGGGTTTCACTGCCATAGATTCAACCAACCTCAGACAGAAGACTCTAGGAGGAAGATACCTGTGTCCTAAGCTCCTCTGTACTCTCTGGACCCTGTCATCACTGCCCATGTGCATGCTGATATCCGCACAGTCCCCATGCCATACCATGACCCTGTGTCACCTACTCCAAGTCTTCGGGAGAGATGGACGCTTAGGCTCTCTTCAGTTGCCAGGGGTAGATCGAGTTAGACCCTGATCTCGCGCTACTTAAGCACTTGTAAAATGGGAAAACACCACAGTGCCACAGCTCACTTAGCTTTGGTTTTCATGGTAGCGATCAGGACTGCAGTAAGCGAATTTACTTCTTTAGGTACTTGTGTATAAATACAGTGATTTCTACATGGTGGAATATCAGTTAAAAAAGAGAGGAGTCTCAGGATTTACAGTGCTGGGTTCTGGCCCCAGTCATTCTATTTTACCAGCTGTTTATCATGAGCCAATATCACTGTCATCTCTGTGCCCTGGTTTCTTGTGTGCCCATGAAGGCAATGATAGCTCGTTATAATAATTATATGGATTTAAGTGCATACTGAAGACACTCAGCAAGTGATTATTGTGTCACCCTATGGAGCTCTTTTGGGGGGTAGTCATTTTACAATATTTAACTGGTTTGTGTTGTAAAAAGAATCGCATCATTTAAAAATAAAAAGAGTAAGTCATTTACACTGTGGGTTTTTTTAAGTCTACAGGGGAATATTCACCCATCATGAACAGACATGGGACTTTGGCTGAAGTACTTGATAGTCACAGATTTTTGGTACCTGCAAAGGAAAGGTCTGCGGTCAGCGACTCAAGGATGACCACATGTGTCCTGAAAGTGAACTTAGTACAGTCAAGCAGACTGTGACTTTGGACAGAATAGATAGAACACCTTCAAGAACATTGATCTACTTCCCTGGTTTTCATTTGGTTTGAATTTGAGGTTTTATTTGTTGTTGTTGTTGTCTTTTGTATTTTCAGCACTGAGGGTCAAACCCAGGTTCTCTCACAGCTAGGTAAGCACACTATCTCTGAGCTATCCTGTTACACCCCAGCCCTTTCCTATATACTTGATCTCCTTTCCCCCCCAAAAAAAACCTATAACAGAAATCTCTACCTATACTAAAACTTCCTGCTGAGACTGGAAAGAGCGCTCAACAAGTAGAGGTGCTAACGGCCAAGCCGGAGGATCTGAGTTTGAGTCTCAGGACTGACATAGAAGAAAAGATCAGGCTCCTGAAAGTTGCCCTCTGACCTGTGCATGTGCTATGGCACAAGAATGTTCACACACTTGATTAATTAACAGATAGATAGATAGATAGATAGATAGATAGATAGATAGATATAGTAAATTTACCCAAACCTCTATCATCCATGAATGGATGGGTTGCACGATAAATAAAAGACCCAGGGACCGATATTGAGGCTTAAGTTTCAAGCTGAAGATCAGAAAAGAAAAGCAGCTGGTCACTAGCTCTCACTCTACCTCAGGACTGAAAGCCTATCCTGACACCACCAAACCTCACACTGTTCCTCAGCACGGCTGGAGAATCCTGAGATCTCAATGTCTCCCTATTCTCAATGTGGCTGGAGAATGAATGCCTGCTTCTGACTACTGAAGACCCTGTTCCTATCTTTTATACCCCTCTTGTGCTGGGACTAAAGGCGTGTGATCCCAGGTGCTGAGATCATCTTTGTGTGAGCTGTTTCTTTTTAGGACTGGATCAATCTTGTGTAGATCTGGGTGGTCTTGAACTCACAGAGATCTTTCTACCTCTTAATCCTGAGTCCAAGGATTAAAGGTGTGTACTACCACTGCCTGATCTCTATAGTTTGTGGCTGGCTTTGCTTTCTGAATCCTCAGGCAAGCTTTAATAAATTATAAATAATATATCATCCCATGGATGGATTTTAGTGCATAGCTGACAGTGTCTCTAGTCTTTCCCCCTCTATCTTTCTTGAACCCAATGCCTTGCACATGATCAACATATGTGCCATTAAGCTACAATCTCAGTCAATCAACTAATACGCTTTAAAATTATCTCAGAGAGTCAGGCACAGTGGTGTATGCCTGTGATCCCTGCACTTGGTAGATAAAGACAGGAAGATCAAGAGCTCAAGGCCTGTCAATCAATCATCAGTCAATCAATCAATCAATCAATCAATAGGTAAATAGATTCCCAGATGGGACCATGCACTGTGGGATCAGATGTGCCCTTGAAAAAGTGACCCTGACTGTTCCTTGGGGACAATATCTATTCTTCTCTTGTCATATGACCATGATCATACTGACTTTAATCTTTATTTAGGATGTGGCAGCTCATGCAGATTCAGACAGGGGTGACAGGTGACTTAGAGCAGTGGTTCTTGACCTTCTAATGCTACAGCTCTTTAATACAGTTCCTCATGCTATGGTGCAAAGTGCTCTTCTGATCTCCACATGCATGTGATATCCAACACACACACACACACACACCACACACCAAACACACACACACAACACACACACATCATAAACCATATACCACACACACACACACACACACACACATGCATGCATGCATGAGTAAGTACATGTAATAACAGGGTAAATATTCAGGAAGAGAAATGTCTCTTTTGTAATGATTTACATTTCCTTTCCTCTCGTGGAGCCTCAAATAAAATTGTCTGCAGAGCTGGTCACCAGTCAATCACCAGAGTGTCTTTCCAGCCATTCCACAATTCCTGTGTGTAAGAATTGGGACATAGTTCAGTGACAGAGCACTCACCTAACACATATGAGACACCACATTCAGTAAGATAAATAGCGACTCTAAGTTTGTTTTGTTATTTCTGTGTTACACCTACAGTAATCTGTATATTTCACTTCTATGAAAAGTTAAAACCAGCTTACAATGATGAATTTTTTCATTAAAGTTATGCTTAAACACATACATAGCGTAATTAATTCAAAGTTTTACTTTTAAAGTTTTTATTACATTTGTTCTTTGTGAGTGTATGTAAGAGAGAGAGAGAGAGAGAGAGAGAGAGAGAGAGCATATATGGCAGTCAGAGGGCAATTTGAATGACTGATTCTCTCCTTCCATCATGTGGATAACCAAGAATCAATTCAGGTCAACAGACTTGGTGAAAAACACCTTTACCTGCTGAGCCAACACCTTAACCCTTAAAAGAAATGGTTATTCATTTTCTCTCAAGGAATACAGTGTCTGGTCCATCTGGGAGCATCAAAGGGGCTGACTCTCAGGAGGCTGATAAGGCAAGGTTGCAAGTTTGTAGCTAGCTTCAGCCACTTAGGAAGACCCTGTGGTGATACATTGTTTATGATTTATTAAAGCTCCTGGAGATCAAAATAGCAAAGAAACCACAATAGTTAGCCATTGAAGATAGGCAGTGGTGGCACACACCTTTAATCCCAGGACTCAGGATTAAGAGGTAGACGGGCCTCTGTTAATTCAAGGCCATAGTGACTACATAAAATTGACCCTGTCCTAAAAGAAACAGTTCTCTCAGCCGGGCGTTGGTGGTGCACGCCTTTAATCCCAGCACTCGGGAGGCAGAGGCAGGCGGGTCTCTGTGAGTTCGAGGCCAGGCTGGACCGACAGCCTCCAAAACAGAGAAACCCTGTCTCGTAAAACCAAAAAAAAAAAAAAAAAAAAAAAAAAAAAGAAACAGTTCTCTCAAAGGTGATGTCAGCACCAGGGATCACACACCTTCAATCCCAGCACTAAGGAGGTGGAGACAGGAGTGATATGACTGGGCAGAGAAAGAGAAAGGAGTAAAACAAGGAGGAGAAAAGAATTTGGAAACAGGATTGCCATTCAGCTGGGTAGAGGTAAGATCTACTGGCTTGGCGGCTTGGCTGCTATGCTTCTCTGATTTTCAGCTTGAAGCTTGAACCCCAACATCTGTCTCTGGGCCTTTTGTTTTTTATGCTTACAAGACCCTGTCTCAAAATGAAGTCTTCTTTAAAGATAGGGGTGTGTCTCCACGGAGGGGGGTATGTTTGCCAGCTTGTCAGGACTCTGAGTCAGCACCACAAACATGAAATAAAATTCAGGCCTCTTGAGAACTAGGAGAAAGTTCAGGGAGACCTCCAGTTAGACACATCATTTAGACAAGCATGGCAGCAATGATGGGAAAATCATGGCTGTCCCTAAAACCAAGTCCCTAAACACTGACTTGGTAAAGATGGTTTTGAATCCCCACGTTTGGGTGTGATCATATATGGAGGATTTCCACTGTGTCAAGCTAGGCTTCATCTTGAGATGGGCAGGGTAGAGACAGCATCTAGAAATGACATAATGCTAAAGCTCTCATCATCAACCCCAGCCACAGGGGATCTAATTAATCACTGTCTGCTTCATTGCTAATTTCTTGTCTCGGTTCTGAAACAGTCTCCTCTCCATTAAAGTGAAGAACACGTTCGTCCCTACATTTTAGGGTCTTGAGGTGTATTTTGTGCTGCTTGATGCAGTTTCCTATTTGCTTGTATAGTTACTTAAGCTGTTATCATTCACACAAAGCCAAGACGTGTTTCAGCCTTCCTGAACAGCCAAGATGTGAACAAGACATCCCACAAGCTCCGCAGGCAGAGCTGGCCCAGCAGCCGCACCCCCTCCCCGACACAGTGCACTGCCGTTATCCAAGAGACAGAAACAAACCCTTCCTCCGTTGAAGTTGTTCCTGCCATATTTTCTGTCACAGTGAAACAGGAAACAACGAACCAGGCTCTGAAAAACAGGCACACCTACAGAGTTCACCACCGTACATGAGAGCTGAGAGCCTCAGCTGCCAACAGCAGATGCATAGACAGGCAGGTGCCCACAGGAGAAACCCAGCTGGAGCCTGGAGCTCACATTTTTCTGGTCCTGCAGCATCTGCCCACTTTGTCTGGGCCTTTTTGTTGGTTCTGTGAACCACTGGTTCCCTTCCAATAAGGCCCTGTTCTTTTAACTTCTTCAGAGTCACTTTCTGTTGTTAGTAATTGGATTGCTGACCTTCGATTGACAGGTGTATACCTTGGCTTAAAGTTGAAACATGAATTTTCAGTTTGGAGCTGGTTGTGTCTGCTAGCTGAGGGTAAATTTGAAATCCAGATTTACTAACTATTTAGGACTGCTGCTTAAGACTAAAGTTACAAAGACAGGCTGGCGGAGTCAACTCATCTCCCGTGGACCACGATGAACACAAGCCCCAAGGAAGGCCCTGGGAGTCACGTCTGACTTCACCACTGACCTGTTGGAAATGATGCTCTCACTGAACAAATGAGCCCTGTAGCTGCTGGAACTGCCACACTACTCTAGGCTGTCGGAAAAATCCTGTTGTCCAATCCAGGCCGTGATCTGCTGAGGACTACATTCTTACAGTGTTGGGAGAGCAGAGCAGAGATTAAGGCAGAGCCTTGGGAGAGCCCTGTCATACAAGCATAAGGAACCCAAAACCCACATAAGAAAGCCAGGTGTGTTGGTAGGAATCTGCCATCTTGGCACGGGGAGGCAGGAACATGGCAGACCTCTGGAGTTTACTGATGCACCTACCTACCCCAACCCACAAGCACCAGGTCAACGAGAAAGACCCTGTCTCAAAAACACAAGAGCCAAACAAAAACAAGGATTGGGGGGAGGGTTGTCCTCTGCATGCATACATATGTGCATTCACACTCAAGAATAAATCAGACACTGGCTGGAAAGAGGGCTCAGTGGTTAAGAACACTGGCTGCTCTTCCAGAGGTCCCCAGTTCAATTCCCACCACCCACACAACTGTTGGCCAGGTGGTGGTGGCTCACTCCCTCAAGCCCAGCACTTGGGAAGAAGAGGCAGGTGGATCTCTGTGAGTTCGAGGACAGCCTGGTCTACAGAGTGAGTTCCAGAACAGGTTCCAAAGCTACACAGAGAAACCCTGTCTCAAAAAATGAAAAACAAACAAACAAACAAAATATATCAAGGACTTGTGCACTAACTCCTCTGTCTTACTCAGAAGTCCTAGAAACAGGACAACTGTCCAGCTGTCACCCAGGTCCTCACTGTCTTACCCCATGGCTTCTCTTCCCAGAAGAAGCCCTAACTCCAGCCTCCTGAATTAATTCGAAAATAAAAATAAATAAATAAATAATGCGGCCGTGGTGACCCACACCTGCAATCCCAGCAGTAGAGAGGCTGAGGCAGGAGGATAACTACAAGTGTGAGCTACACAGTGATGCTCTTTAGCAATAATAATAGTGATAACATTCAGCTGCAGGTGTAGTGTAGGCCAGGATAGGCCAGGGCTATCCCTGTGGCATCAGCTTTTTTTTTTTCTGGTTGCTTTCACATTATTTCCCAAATTTCTCCCTTTCTCTCTCTCTCTCTCTCTCTCTCTCTCTCTCTCTCTCTCTCTCTCTCTCTCTCTCTCTCTGTCTGTCTCTCTCTCTGTGTGTCTGTCTGTCTCTCTCTGCCTCTCTGTCTCTCTCTGTCTCTGTCTCTGTCTCTCTCTTTGTCTGTCCGTCTGTCTCTCTCTCTGTCTGTCTGTCTCTCTCTCTGTCTCTCTGTCTCTGTCTCTGTCTCTCTCTCTCTCTCTCTCTTGCACACAGAAACAGAACTAAGCAAACAGACAAGGAGCTGCCGCTGGCATTACGCCGTGGCTGCCCCATGCTCCTGGGTCATGGCCATCTCATTTTGCCTGCCACCTGCACACGCAAGCATGGTGCAAGCTAAATGCTACCTCAACATTCATTTCCCTCAACAAAGGAGAAAAGTGCCGTAGGAATTGCCTTCTAATTGCAGCTATGCGGTGGGAGAGGTATTTGATGTTTCGTTCCTTCAAAATTTGCTGCTCTGCATTTAAAATGCATTTGCTGGAAAAATCTTGGGTTTCAAGCCAGGCATGGCAGTGCACACCTGTAACACTTGGAAGGGGGCAGGCAGGAGGATCAGGAATTCAAGATCATCCTTAGCTACACGGTTGTTTCAAGAATAGCCCAGGTTCCTTAAGTCCCTGTCTCAAGAGAGAAAAAAAATGAAAAAAGAGAATGATGGGTAGAGGATAAAGAAGGACTGGAAGGGGAGAGATGAAGGAGAGAGGGAGGGAGAGAGGAGGGAGGGAGGGAGGAAGGAGGGAGGGAGGGAGGAAGAGAGGGGGAGGGATGAGGGAGGAAGAAGAAGAAGAAAAACTTTAAATTTATTTTGTCTGATTTTTTTAATTTCAAAAAGAAAACTCAAGGGACAAGATGGTTCAGCAGGTAAAGGCACTTGCAGCCAAGCCTTACGACCCGAGTTCAATCCCAATGCCCCATATGTGAAGGAGAGCATATTCTCCTGCATGCTGCCCTGTAACCTCCACACTGTGTGCACTTTCCATTAGGCAAGCATCAGAGCTGAGGCTGAGAGGATCATGGGGCCCATGACTGGCAGGCAGAGGGGACAGTGGCAGCCGAGCATTCTAACCCAGGCCCTGCAGGCTCCATGCTTTTTGCAATCACAGTGACTCCGGGGTTCTCATTCATCATCTGCCCTCACTTGGAGGGTAAAGAGCAGCGGGACGCATTGAGACTGCCTTTGACATTTATCAGAACTGAGGAAACTAGACATGTAATTAAGGAGAAAGCATCGAGAGGTGCCCTCTCTCCCTCGGGCTCTGTGTAGGTGTTCCGGTAGTATACATCAGGTCAAGTATTCGATGCCGCCTTTGCTCCCAAGGAAGCTTTGTATGGATGCTCAAGATGTGTGCTGCACCCCACCTAAAA